CGTTAGCACAACAAACTCCAGAGGGGAAGCTCGCAAACCACTGTACTAAACGGCCCGCAGTTTTGCTCCCCACCCCCAACTCCCCACCCCCAGCTGCAGCTCTCAAAGTCGAGAGGAAGCTCAAGGTCATTGAGTGACTGAGGCCAGCGTCCTCACCGTCATACAATCACTACTAAAATTGCAACCCCGGCAAAAGCGAGGTCCCCTCTGGACAGTTACAGGGTCAGCGGGGCCTTCCGGCACCCCCCCGAGACTCCTCCCAGTCGCTATCCCTCAGTAGAGACCTGATTCATGCGTGCACTTGCTGTCCCGCAGCCACAAGTTTTACCCCAGGAACAAAAATGCGTTCTCTTTCTTTGGATGCTCTAATAAACAAACGCAATCGTACCACAGTAGGCCCAAAGGCGTCCTTCTGAAAGCAATTCCACTGTAGAAAACTGAAAAATGGGTGTAATTTGCGTTCAGAAAGTGATGTTAGGGTCACGGCAATTTCCCGGGCCGTTATTTATTTTTGCTTTAAAGACTTTAGGGAAGATTTGCTTATAGACTAGGAAACCTTCCAGTATGAGAACCCCAGCAACCCCGCTCGCCTTCAACGCGGGAGGGGGGAGTGAAGGTGGAGAACAATTACTGAGTGACGCTAATATGGGGAAACTGAAAAGAAATGTCGATTGTTTTTATTGTAATAGAAGGAGTGAGCAAACAGAAAAACCAACCCGGGCTGATCGGAAACAGGCAGGCGGAGAATGAAAAGTGGGTTTCAGGCCGCGACAGGCCCCTCCCTCCCCTGGCCTGGGAAGGAGAGAGCCGGCGCTAAGCGCTCGCCGGACTCCAGCGCTGGCTTCTCGCGACCGTCCAGCCCCTGCGCGCTAGGGACGTCTTCCCAGCACCTTGCCCATCCTCCCGCAGCCTCACCTGTCGCAGAGGAGGAAAGCCTCTCGCTATGCGAGATTCCTCCATCTGGTGGAAGGCTGACCAGCCAGGAAGCAACGCTTTGGGAGTCCTTGGGCTCCACTTGGGGGTCCCCTGAAACTTCTGGCTGCGCCGGTGCGACCGCAGCGCCGTCGCAGGCGAGCCAAGGTCAACAGGTCAGTGTGCGCCCCCCTCTTGAGCTACCCTGCCCTTCCCTGGCAGAGGACCCCTGCAGGCTGACTCTGTCCTTATTCCCCAGTAGTTGTTTCTTCTGGCTGCTGCCACCCGCGGCTTGGGACATTGATTTGCTAGGCTAGCCTTCTTGGGTGAACCTAGCCTGGCCGTGAGTGCGGGGATGGGGTTGGGGGAGGCGCCGGTTGCCCTAACGCTTACTGGGGAGCTTGGTGGATGTGCTGAGCACAGACCCTGCAAGGCTGGCCCTACTTGGGAGGCCAGATCCTATAAAGCCTAGTTACCCCCTTTTTTTGTCAAGTGCAATGCCACACTCACCTAACACAGGCGTGCTGTAAAGAAACTCAGTCTCTGCCTGAAAACTTCCCCCAGATAGCTGCAAGAACTCACAGTACTCTGAAAAAAAAAATGTCCAGGAGCTGTCCTGGACACTGCTTCCCAAGGAGCGTCGGCAGGGCATAGTGATCTAGGCCTTGCTTGACCCAGCATGCTCCTAGCAGGGGACAAGTTTCAGAGCTGGGCGCCTAAGTACTCTGCTTTAACTCCTGTGTTCACTACAACCTCGGGAAGTAAAAGAGACTCTTCCATTCTCGCGCCTCCCTCTCGGTCGTCGTTGTCGTCGACCTGACCTACGTGGACACAGACATGGTTCTTAAGTACTCACCGAGATCAAACGAGGGCTCCCCGAGTGCTCACGCACAGTCTAGAGTGCTGCCTTCCGATGGCGGCAGCTGCCCGGATGCTTTGTGAGCGGCGGTGGGAAGAGCTAGATTCCACTTCCTGCATATCTCTCCTCAGACCTCGCTGGTGCCCAAAGGGGCTCGGTGCACCGCAAGTGGCCGGCCCGTGGCATTGGGACCACTGACAGATTTATGAAGACTTTACAAGCATCTAGCCTGGGTCGTTGGAGCCAGGGTTGAGTTCAACAGAGGAGGAGAAGCCCCAGGGATAAGGCTCCGCAGCGGTGTGCGGGCCTAGCTGCCCCTGAATCTCTGGTTTGGCTTCCACACTGGGCTGCCCGGTGTCAAGTGTGTAGAATCCTAGCGTAACCTCCTCCTTCACACCCTCTGGTCCTCCGGCTTCCAGTCTCTTACTGAGTAAATATTTACCCAGAGAAGGGGTCGCCCCAGAGGAGGCCTTAGCGCCTAGGGGAAGGCTTTTCGTTTCCTTCTGGCCTGAGCCAGCTGCAGGCCTTTCTGGTTATGTTTTGGTTTTGGTCTTAGGTTTCTCCGTTTAGTAGAAATTCTCCTGATTCCTCTACGACCTCCTGGATCCAGATCTCAGTGACCAGGGACCCTGTAACTCAGTGACCCTTGCTCTGTCTTGAAGTCCTTCACCCCGTGTCCACTAGGGCTCACTGGAGGGCTCTCTTCTTCTCTCCAACCCTCTTTTACCCATTTCTTCATTCCTTCCTCTCTCACCTCACACATCTTCTCTCTTCTTTCTATAAGACTCCAGGGATCACCGTCTACTTTGCCCCTAGGATACTGCGTGCCTTTGCTTGGGAAGGGAAGTTTCCACACTGGCCCCTTCTTGGAGATAGCCTGACTTTCTATTCCAGCATCTTCGGTTCCTAAGGTCCCTAAGCACTGGGTTGTCATGGGTGCTTAGTGGCCCAAAGCGCCTAAGGTTGATTCATTCTGTGCCCTCAAGAATATTCTGGTCAGTGGGCTTGAGGGACACTGAGGAGAGGATCTATCTATACCCAGGAAAATGCTACCTGCGTATGTCCAGGGAGATCACCAACAGTCAGGTCCAACAGATAGAAAACTATTGATATCCGTAGATCTGAGAGAGAGAGAGAGAGAGAGAGAGAGAGAGAGAGAGAGAGAGAGAGATGCGACAGCTAAAGGGGGTGGCGATGGATGCGGTGTACTAAACTCCCAAGCTAAAATGCTAGACATACATTTCTCTTGATCACTCCGGATTGATGAAGCTAGATTCTCATTAGGACACCACACCTCGCCGGTCCATACAGGCTGGGAGGGCTGTCTCTGTAAACCAGTTAAGAAGGGTGTGAAATACTCAGTGGATGCACCGAAGTAGAGCAAAGAGCACACTCAGGGGACACAACTTGCGCGGGTTTCTGTGAGGATGAAGGGTCCTCATCAAGGGGCAGGACATACTCTTTCCTGTGCACAAGTCTCAGGCAAAGTTCTGATCTCCACTCAGTCTCTGAGTCGCAAGTAATTTATACTATAGCACTAGGGCGGGAGGGGAGGGCTTTTGATATCTTGGTTTTCCTTTTTATAAAGCATGGGACTATGCAATACAAGGATTGAGCGGAGACAAAGATAAAACCACAAAGTCTAGCCCTGAAATGACTTTGAACATCTGAAACCAACAAGTAAAAGGGGGCTGTATTCAAGTATTTCTATTCGTGAAACCTTATTGTGAAATACTTGACTGCAATAAAAGGCATTTGAAGTAATCTTTCAATCCTTCACAGCTCAGTAATTTGAATTCATAGTGTACACCCAGCACAGAAGCAGGCACCTGGAGATCAGTGTTCGGGTCCAAGACCGATTACTAGATGTCCTGGGCTCGTGTCATTTACTGGTGAAGATCCGGGTCCGTCTGATTTCTTTGTGTGCAGACCTAAAGCCTCAGGAGAGTGCGCGCATCATCCTACATCCTGTGTGTAAAAGAGAGGCCAGTGTGATGGAGACGCAGTAATATCATCCACTTTCCGGTGTAATACAAATGCTCGAATTCATTTACAGTGTTTCTCTTCCTTATTTTGTTCACACTCGTCATAACCTTGTCTCCATAAATAGATATATTTCCCTGTCCCAAATCGTTCTATTCTTTTCGGACTTCGGGTGATTGAAAGTGAAAATCCTTAGGTAGGCAGAACCACACCATCTCTGGTAGCTAAATTGAAGTCGCAGGGAATTACACACAGATGCTCAGAGGCAGTCTCAGCGGGTATCTCCGCGGGGCTGTCTTTCATATTTAAAACCAAACCTTTCAAGGTGGCTCACTGGTGTTGAGAACCCTGGCAATTCTAACACACGGAAACCACGACCTTGCGTTCTGGGTGAGTGGAGCGCAAGGCGGTGGGGTGGGATGGACGTGGCCTCTGCCACCAGCGCTCCGGGTATCAGCCTTCCTTCCCGGTGGAGGTCCTGTGCTCCTCTATAGTCTGGCTTTTATTTTTATTTTATTTTATTTTATTTTATTTTATTTTATTTTTCCTCACAGCACCCGGCCTCTGCTAGGATCTTGCTTGGCTGAGGTTTAGCCTCTCATTAGGGGACTAACCATTTCGGGCGGGTACGGGAAGGAGTCTCCTGTCCTTACATTTCAATCGTCTCCTCCTCCCGACCTGTCTTCTGTTCTCCCTATCCTGAGTGCACTGGAAGGAGGGAGAATTTGTGGGCAAGATTCTGACAGTCCCCAAAGGTCAGCATGGCAGGTAGTTCTCAGTCATCCTCGTGCCCAGGAGCTCCCTTAACGGCCGTGCCCGCTTGCTCCCTTAGCGCCCTAACCTCCAATTTGAATTTTGACAAGTCCATCTCTTCCTCCAGAGGTGTTCTAGGTCTCTACTCACTTAAAGTCATTCAAACCGAGACCAAAGCTTCCGTTCGCTTATTCAGCATTTTTTATCAGCTTGATTTTGCACTCTGTTTGCGGCGCCCCTGGGAGGACGTCAAACACTCTTATTCATTGTATTTAGTCACCCAGGTGCGGAGCCAGCCAGAAACAGACGGCGGAAGGAGTTTCCCGGACTGAGCTGTCACTCACCGACCTGCACCAATTGCAACGCAGATTGCCCGCGGGCCCACCTCTTTTGGGGTGTGTCACAAGTGAGTGATAGACTGAGCTGCCCGGCCCTGCTGAGCCCAGCCCACGTTGCTGCTTAGATTGAAATGCAGAACTCAAGCCTCTTTCAGCCGGGCACAGACTTCCTTTTACTCTTTCCTCTGGCACTCTTGTCGCCTCCTCCCGGGGAGAAGCCAAGGCACCCGCGGCTTGGAGCAGCGACAGTCCGGCCCAGTGAGAGCGAGGAAAAAGTTTCTTTCTGGGAGTGCGGAACTGGGGCCGGGTTGGTGTACTGCTCGGAGCAATGGGTGAGTGGCTGCGGGGGGACGATGTCAGAAGCGAGGAGGGAGGGAGCGAGCAGGCGAGGGCTAGAGGGAGGGAGCAGAGGCTCGCGACCGCGCTCTATTGACTCAGACCGCGTCCCTACGAGCTGTAAGAACACGCCAAGGGTGTTGTGGGAGCTACCGGGTGGCAATTGATGTCATGTTCCGATTTTAAGAGGGCCGTGGCATTGACGAATCTCGCAGCCCCAGTGTCAATCAGAGTTTTGTTGCACACGTGTTTACGCATGCAAGCAAAACAGAACAAAAACATCCCCCCCCCACACACACACACCAGCTTTCCCTGGACTTCGGCTAACCCCGCTGAAGGGAGAGTTAAGGCGGTGGAGGGGAGCAGGGGCCGAGCCTTTTTGTGCCAGACAGGCAAAGAGGGGCGCGCTGGAGCCTCAGGACCGGTTTCCCCGCCTGCTTCAAAGAGTTTTGGGTGTCCCGAGTTGCCCTGGGTCTCTCTTTTTGTTTGTTGTTGGGAATCGCAAAGCAAAAGCGAGATCTGGCCGCAGCTTGTTTTGGGCCGTTTGGCTCAGGCCGGAACAGTCTGGTTTCGGGGCAATCCCAGTCCTTATAGGAGGGTGTCATAGCCCTGCCCCTGGACGCTCTTGGAGGCCGAGTGGCAGGCGGCTGTCCCAAGCAGTTGGTGCGCGTTGTGGCGCGCTCTGTGGTCCTTTTGCAGAGCCAGCCTTCGGGGAGGTGAACCAGCTGGGAGGAGTGTTCGTGAATGGAAGGCCGCTGCCCAACGCCATTCGGCTTCGCATCGTGGAATTAGCCCAACTGGGCATCCGACCTTGTGACATCAGCCGCCAGCTAAGGGTCTCGCACGGCTGCGTCAGCAAGATCTTGGCGCGCTACAACGAGACCGGTTCGATTTTGCCGGGAGCTATCGGGGGAAGCAAGCCCCGGGTCACCACCCCTACTGTGGTGAAACATATCCGGACTTACAAGCAGAGGGACCCAGGCATCTTCGCTTGGGAGATCCGGGACCGCCTGCTGGCGGATGGCGTGTGCGACAAGTACAACGTGCCCTCGGTGAGTTCCATCAGCCGGATTCTGCGCAACAAGATCGGCAACTTGGCCCAGCAGGGTCATTACGACTCCTACAAACAGCACCAGCCTGCGCCGCAGCCCGCGCTGCCCTACAATCACATCTACTCGTACCCCAGTCCCATCACGGCGGCAGCTGCTAAGGTGCCTACCCCACCCGGGGTGCCGGCCATCCCCGGATCCGTGGCCATGCCGCGCACCTGGCCCTCCTCTCACTCCGTCACGGACATCCTGGGCATCCGTTCCATCACCGACCAAGGTAAGGAGCTCAGAGGCAGCGTGCCAAGCGCAGTGAGTTCCTGCACGCGGTCGGGAAGCCCAGTACCTTCGGCCTCTAGCGAGTGTCTATCCCACCACCTGTGGTTTTTTTCTTTTGGAAACCTAAGGAGTCTTCCCAGGGGGTGTCCTGATCTCATTAACTTGAAACTCTGGCCCCTCTGTTTCCTTGCCACACACAGTCTCCAGCCTCATCTCATACCAGACCCATAACATCCCCCCCCCCCACATCCCCAACACATGGTTCGCATTTTCCACCCTCCCCCGCCTCTCGCGCACTCAGCCTCTGCCCGGCTAGACTGTTTGGAGAACGCAGCCAGCCGATTTGGGGAGCACAAGAGGAGGCCCTAGCAGGCTTGGGGCTGCGGGCTGTAGATAGCCACTGTCGGCAGCTTGCCCACGAAGCAGATGCAGCAGCTACGAGTCCCGCACACTCTGAAAATTGTATTATTATTCTCGGATTCTGGCAATCAGGCCAAATTTGCTCAGGCAGGAAGTTCAAATGTCACCTAATTGGTTTCATTCTTATGCTTCACTTCATTTTCCTCGGAAACGGAGGTTCGGGATCTCTCTCTCTCTCTCTCTCTCTCTCTCTCTCTCTCTCTCTCTCTCTCTCCTTACCTCCCCACCCACCTCCGTTGACAGTCGTTAATTATCAACCTAGTAGTTAAGGTGACAATTGCTTGGTGATTCCTCCTTGTCCTTTTTGGCTGGCTGCTGTCTGTGGTTCTCCCCAGCCTCCGGCTTTCCTTAGGGTCCTTGGGAATTGGGAAATGCTAGTGGTTGCCGGTCCCTTTCCTGCAAAGTTACCAGCAATGTTTTTTCCCTTTATCTGCCGAAACCTTGCTCTGTCCTGGACGTCTTTTTTGACTCTTCAGAAAGATCTCCGCCTGCTGTGTACCGTACAGTCCGGCTTTCCTGGGAGACTTGAGTTTGTTTTCTTTTTATTGTACTGTTAAAGATAAACTTTAAAAGACATTAGGGTTTTTCTTGGTATTGGGAGAAAAAGAAAGTTAAAATCTTTTATTCCCTTAACCTATTGGCTAATTGCTCAGTGGAAGGTTTAAGACAGGCAGAGGAAAAATTAAATAGGAAAGAGGAAGACATTTCCCGCTAATTTCCCGCTTTTTGCATTTCCCACCACATTAGCACAATTACCTTTTAAAGTAATTCAATCAGTGCCCGATTTCCCATCTTCTTGTCTTCTGACTGAGAATTGACAAGAATAAAGTTCTGGGTTATTTGGAACTAGTTGGAACCTTTCTTGGAGACGTTGCCCTTGATTTATAGGATAAACTGACCTCACTGACATTTAAAGGAAGTCCCTGTTCTTGGGAAAGTGTGAGATCAGCAGAAATGGGGGCTCACAGGGGGATCTCAATTTCTTAAGATAACTTCAGGCTTATGCCCACCGTCTGCCTTTTGTCTGGGACGGCAAATACCATCAGGCAGTTGGGAATCAGCGATGGCTTCCAGGTACAGAGATGGGAGCGCAATCTACTTCTCTGGAGTGGGAGGCAGAGTAAAAATAGGCTGACAGTCGAAAAGAAAACTTTTCACCTCTGGGAAATCCTGCAACCAGACCAAATGTCAGGTAGGGAAGAATTGGATTATAGAAGGCAGTGAATGAATCCCCGTAGATACTGTTGTCTATTTGTGATATCACCTTTAAGCAAACAGGGTTCTGACAAATTTGTGCATATAAAAAGGTAATTTCTCCAAATGACTGCTCTCTGAAGCACCTGTATCAAATGGGAGTGTGTAAAATCTTGTATAAGCGACACTGTCAAACGTCTACACACAGGCCCAGAAGCAGAATTAGATGCGTGTAGTCTTCAAATATCTTTTTCCCAATATGCCTAACTTTAGATATTACGACAATCTTTTTCTTTTATTTGTTTTTGGTCTGAATCTCCTTTAAGAACCGAAAGTTTGGTAGATGGCTTTGTGCCTTTTTCTTAATGTTAAATTCTACTTTCATTTTCTTGGTCAGAAGCAGAGAATGCAGGGAAGTCCTGTATACATATGATGTGGGAATCTGTGGGCTATATTTTGCATGTGTGTTGTAGGCATCTCTTAGTTATTTGTTTGCAAAGGACTTCGCAGGCCTTTTGTTCTGTCATATTGACATAGCTATCATATCGCCACAGTGTAGTCAGCAGTTTTCAGCCTATCTCTGAGCATCAACAAGGTCGCACTTGGGCCAGACCTCCTCCCTCCCTCATCAGCCCTCCTCAACGTCAGATTTTTGCCTCTCTCCTTCAGTAGGGACAGAGGTGAGGAACAAATATCCCACTTCGTAGGTTTGAGATTTATTTCTGTTTGGGAAAAAAAAAGCCTCTCTTTCAATCCGTTCCCTGGGCGATCAAGAAATGAGAAAGGTAATCTAATGTTAGCTTAGGAAAGAAGGAAAGGAAAGGAAAGGAAAGGAAAGGAAAGGAAAGGAAAGGAAAGGAAAGGAAAGGAAAGGAAAGGAAAGGAAAGGAAAGGAAGAAAGAAAGAAAATTTAAAAACAAAAAACTTCCGTCAGGCGTGGGTGAAACTTAACTCAGAGGCCTACTTTCAGGCCATTAATATTTCTCCAGGCCCTAGACTGAGAACTAAGGAGTCTGCGCTTAGGCCCAGCGTCCCTAAGAGGCCTAGTGCAGGAGAGTTGACTAAAGGTCTTAGCCCAGGACCTTTGTGGTTAGGGATTGAGTCTTGTCTCAGGAGGGGGGCACAGGTTGAGCCCCGCCTGAAATCTCTCTTCCACCTTCTCAGGAGTGAGCGACAGCTCCCCCTACCACAGCCCCAAGGTGGAGGAGTGGAGCAGCCTAGGCCGCAACAACTTCCCTGCCGCCGCCCCGCACGCAGTGAATGGATTGGAGAAGGGAGCCTTGGAGCAGGAAGCCAAGTACGGCCAGGTGAGGAGAAGGCTTGGCCAGGCGGGCTGCCTGGTGTGAGGCATTGGGAGCTGAAGGACGCCTCGAAGGGGAGAGGTGGATCCTGGGTTGGCTGAGTCTGGGCCGAGGGCTGGGTAATAGCCTGGCATCCCGCCGCGCCTGTGGCCCCCAGCCCTTCCAGCCCAGCCGGGTTCAGTCGAGCCAAGGCCGAGCTCTAGCACGACCAGGCTTTGAGGATCAGAGCGGCGCCCCGCTAGCCGGCTGCGCCTGAAGGCCACAAGCCAGAGTCGCAAGGCTTGTGGGAGGCTGCGGGTCCTGTGCACACACAGCTCCTGTGCTTCCAGACACTAGCTTGTCCGGCGAGAATGGAAGAGGGGCAACCAGATAAACGTAATAAAGTTACCATTTCCCGATTAAAGGTCACATCGTAATTTCCCAGGGGAGGTTAGTGAGAAAACCTCAAATTATACGGACTGGCTGTGGACCGTTTAATTCCCCCTCCTGCCCCACCCCATCCCCCCCCCTCTACTCTCTGAAAGAAAATTTAAAACACTGGTGTTTCTTTTTTCCCTGCTTGAGAAGAATTAAGCAACCGGCACACAAAAGTGTGAGCCCGAATTCGTCAGTATGCTAGAATGAAGAGTTCAAAACTCAGATGGCAAAACTTCAAGGCAGTGTACCGTATCCCTGAAGTAGACACCACCTCCAAAGCTTCAAAGTAGTTAGTCTTATTTTAAAGCCTTAAAACTTTTTATGACTTCTCAAAAATCAGTTATACTTATTGGAATTTATTATTCTTATCTATTGGGGGGGATATCCTAATTATCATTTTCCTTAACAAATTACATTTTGTTTTCCTCGTCTCTCTCAAGGTTTGTCAGAATTCATTAGTAGCTAATTTCCTGGCAAATGTCACCAAAAACAGCAAGGAGAGAGCGAGCCGCTTTTCTAAGTCTGGTTCCACTGTAAAGAATACCCATGAGGTTTCTATAAGCAAATTCATCATTTTCTTTCGCAAAGACCTGCCTGTAACTCTCAGCTCACAGAGCGGTGGTGTGCACCGTGATTAGAAGCTGAGTAAGCGCGCAGCTTCTTAAGCAAGCTGTTTACCCATTTAGAGCCTCTTCATTTTCTTAGACTTTCTTCATTTTCAAATTAAGGAACTAGTAGTCCCAAAGTCAAGAGTCAGTACTCTTAGGAAACATTCATTCAGTACCCCCTGTGGCTAAAAACGGCAGTGACAGGCGGGCTTCTTACAAGTGATATTCATAATATGCATTGTTTAGAAAATCCATAGTAAGAAACATTCTACCAAGCACTTGTGACAAACAATAGAAAGTGTACACAAAGCATGGGGAACAGTAGCAGGTATTTAACAGGGACTCAGTGCTGTCGTGGAATCACATCATGAAGTTCAGAGTTCAAAATCAGCTCGAGTTCCCACAAGCAGTCAGTGCACACCGTTTGCATAAAAAAGCAGCTTCCTCACCTAAAATCTTCATAGGCCACTTTCATTTCCCTCTCCTGAATGATGCATCTGTCAGGGAAGCTTGGAAGGGCTAATTATAATTATAATATGCTTCAAAACTAAACTTACGACTTATCTAAAAATAAATAGCATTTCGAGGAAACGCTGTTTCACTAAAAATCGTTCACAAAGAAATTTAAAGTAGTAAATGATGTTTTACAAAAGCAAATAATTTAAGGAGAGGGGGCAGACAAATAAATGTTGTTCTAAATATTATAATATTTAAGAGGACAGGCTCCCAGATAAAAGGATACTTATGTCAAGTTAATATTTAAAAAGCTCTTACTGTAGCGTTATCCCATTCTGCCATTTAGGTAGATAATTCAACTGATACACAATCATAAAACCTTCAGACTTCCTAAGCACAACACGAATCAGTGGATACTCTTAGAATGAAGGCTGAAGATATGTTGAGAAGACAAACACTTCACTTAGACATTAATTTGGTGTAAAATTACATAAAACTCATAAGAACTAAGAACACATAGAATTTTCATATGTGTGTATTCCTCTTGAAATATTCTAAAGTAATTTTAATTTTACAAGTCCCCTCTGCCCCCCCCAAACTGTTGTCAATATATTCTGATAAAAAAAAATTAACTCAGGTATCATTTGCCCCTTTGGCCAGCAAAAACTTGAAAGTCCTTGAGAAAGGAAAGCTGAAGAAATTTGCTTATAGTACGTTTGCAGTTGTGACTAATTCCTTTAATGCTAGTTTCTGGTGTGCACAGGAGAGAGATTGAGATTTCAGACTCAGCTTAGAGCATGCTTTCTTGGAAGACACCTGTAAAATGACTACAGAACAAGCTGGAAACTCAGCACTGATACTATTGGTCACCATGACCTAGACTTTCTATTTTCAGTAAACTGCAAAGATGCCCCATTGTCAGGAACCAGGACTGCATGCACATTTTAGTCATACGTGTACCTATTCACTGTGTTTGAAAGTTAGTTTGAATGTCCAAATTTATCTTACACATTAATGTATTGTAACTTACATGGACTCCCGTTCAGAACTCTTTGTTGACTAGGATAGAATACTTACTTATCTTAGATTTTTCAACTACATTTATAAGTAAGGAAGTACATTGAAAGGGAGGAAATCCTTATTCTCATCTGTGAGGGGAAACAATGTTTACTTGTTCTTTCTATTCAGCTAAATGAAAGCACAAAATTTTGACTTAGCGTGATCAAGTGGATAAAAGTGAACTGGATAGACATAGGCGTTGAGCTGTATCTGTTCTTTTCCATGGAAGTTTGGTGAATTAATAATTGATTTTATTCACACAGTTCATAAATAAATGCATAGTTTATGAAAAGTTTAATCTACACTGGCGTGTTTCCTTAGAACAAACACGTACTATTTACCTGGTAGGCTACCGTAACAGGAATGATAGAATTACAGATTCTCAGTATCTTCATTTTGGGGTTAAATATGCTAATGGAGACAGGAAATTTATTATAATATTAGTTAGCAGTTGAGATGTTAGAAATAGAGAATAGTCTATGAATACTTGCACTAAAAATGTTCTGAGTTAAGCGAATTGTGACAACAGCTTAATTTTAAAATGTAGGTTAACCTGGAATTCTCATAAAGCATTCATTTGTGGATTATTTTAAATGATGACACACTTGAATCTTCTTGAATATCATTTCCTAGTGGAGAATTTAAAAGCATTGTTTGATAATTAAAAAACAAATAAATCCAAAAAATATTTAAAGCTTGTTTTTCAGAACACACTGTTTTCATGAAGGTAAAAATAAAGCTGTGTGGGATTTTCTTCACACCAAACAAAGTTAACTTTTGATAAATTAATTTATAATTTTTGTACAGAATGAAACTTTAGGTAAATGGCCAGTGATCTTTGAGCTTCATCATATTTATGAGAAACATGGTCTGATTTTTAATTAACTTTCAGCCTATAGTATTTTAAAACAAACTTAATAATAATTATATATCAGCAAAATGTGTCATGTGAGATAACAAAAAAAGGCAGTTCAAAAGACTAAACTCAGTGTCACTAGATGACAGGATTGTAAATGTTTTTTTTATTATCTTATGGTACCTGAGATGATTGACGTTTTAAATGATTTTGGTCATTGTACAATGTACACATGTATAGAAGCATCACACTGTTCCGATGCATATAATTTTTGTTGTATGTCAAGAGAATACAAAATAAAATTAAACAAATCGATGTAAGGCTATATCAGTTTTAATAACATTTTAGACATTAAAATTTAGGAAAAAATTAGGTGTTACACATTTACCACATTTCCTATTACCTAGAGACATTTGCTCCCGCGATAGGATCACTAAAAGTCATTCTCTTAGATGAATATTGAACCCTGGTTCTCACTGTCACTTTATCTTACCAGGTTTGTTTTACTAGGGTCATTACAAAATAAAGAAGGGGAGAATGGCAGTTAGAAAGATAATCTCAGAGAAATAGTTTCTCAAAAATACCTGCTCATTTTCAGATGCAATTTTGTTTCTTGTTTATAAAACTGACATTGTAAATATATGTGAAGCACAATTGTTTTTTATGGCCGAATATATTTTATCATAAAAGCCTGGGCAAACTCATGTCATCAGAAAGAAAAGAACACATGGATTTGATGAGTGGCTGACAGACAGACTGTGAGCAGAGAGTCTGGCATTCGGCTGTTATTTGCATTTTCTTCAAGAGAGAAAATGTTGAGTGGACAATTTCCAGAATTTGAAAAATGATCTTTATCTTCTAATTTCTAGACACTTGCCATATCAGTTTCTTCTTCTTTTTTCTTCTTGCTCCTTCTGCTCTTCCTCCTCTTCCATTTCATGCTCACAAGTGTTTGGACACTAATGCATTCCCATCTTCTCAGAGGTGGAGGAATACATGGAACAAGCATAAATCAAATAGTGAAGGGCTGGTTGGAACTCTTATTTAGTTTTGCCAACAGCTTTATTCTTTTAGCTTGCTTGGAGCAAATGCTTGTCCTGTGATAGGGTGGTGGTGGTAAACGCTTCATTTTGTTCTTAGAACAAGAGAATCATATCTTTTGCATTCACAAGTCTTCAGTAAGTCGCTTACAAAATGCTTCTTGTGGGTCCCATTTTGTGAGCCTACAGGGTGAGTGAGGCAGGTCCCTGTCCTCCAGCAGTCTGAAGGTATGGTCGTGTGATCACTTAACCCGAGCTGTATTACACCATCAGTCTTTTCCTAGATTTCTTCTAGTGCTCATGAGATAAAAACCTGTCTTTTCCTGAGACAAATAAACATAGAAAACTTACTTTTTCTGGGACATGCAATTTATCTGTTTCACTCTGTAGTAGTAAATCTCATTTCCAAAATGAAGTGGAGGGTAGCTGTCTGTGAGGAGGGAGGTTACAGACTTCTTTCAGAGAAAAGAATTCCTACTGCTTTCTTGGAGGGTCTATGTGAAAAGGGGGTCGATGGGTTGAAGTCTTATTTATGAAATATTTAGGCAAAGTCATTTTCAAAAATGAGATTTCTATTGCATTCCTATTGCAGGGTTTCATGTGGAAAATTTGTTTACTTTTCCCCTGGGATTCCGTATGTTGTTTGATTTATAAATCATATTTACAATCCAATTAAATAGTGTAATTTAACATGTTTGCTCCTACTATATTTATGGTATACATTTGGGAACCTAACTAGCTTTTTAGATTAATTACGTGCCCTTCACTGAAAACATTGAACAGATTTGGGGAGTTCACATTGAAGTTTACTCCTTCACAGGAAAGCATAAACAAACACCTGAGTTGGTTTCCTTTGCTGTGGAAAATTTTACCCTTTCTGGGATTTCTTTATAAAGAACATTCACTTTACCCAGTAGAGATTTATTACTTTTGCTAATTTCATATTTCAAAATTAATAGTGAGAAAATTGGTATTTATTGAGACACTGGAGTAAATGAACAGTAAAGGAGGCAGGGGCATTTGTGTTTTCTTGCTTATTCCCCCAATCATTTCCCCTAGATTTTGAAATTTGAACACCCAACAGCAGAATGAGACATTAAGACAGTCCCCCACTCCATGTCCCAGTCAAGTCAGACATGAGTTACTCTTCTAAGGTTGAGGGTTTCTTATCCTTCTCTTCCTTCAAGTGACCACTGTGTACCACCACACACACACGCGCACACACACACGGACACACACACACACTGAGATAAAGCTACCTCTTTGAACTTGTTGCTCTCTCCTGGGTCTTTCTGGAATACAGAGGGAATTGAACTACTACACTGAAAGCCAGTAAATATGGTGGTATTTTGAGAACCTTGAAATATTCACTATTACTACACATAATGACATCAAGCAACGTTAGTATTTTAGGTATGAGAACTCAGGTAGATATAAAAATTCGTAGGATATTGTTACATTTGATAAATGAGTAAGGTTATGGAACAAATATGAAAGTAAATCTTTGGCTTCTTCGTGAGGAGAGCATGATCTGAGGTGAGAGTCTGAGCCAGTCTTTCTGAGGTCATATTTGAGGGGTACGGTGACTTTGGGCACACATAAGTGGGCCCATGTAAGCAGACTACAGACAGAAGAGCACAATAGCTCATGGCGCATCACGAGCGAGGTGTAAGCAGTAAGTTCTGCTCCTTGCATCCCACCAATAGGACAACAGTGATAGAAAATGGAATCCAACAACAGATATTTTCTGCTAGATAGATCATTATTTTGCCATGCATATTAAATCTTTTGGCATTAGGTACCAGATGTAGAGTCATGTCTTCTATCATTTTAAAATTAATTTTAATATTTTCCTCCTGTGTTGGAGATTGAACCTGGGGCGATACTGAGCTATAGCTGTTGGGGTGTACTACCAGACCCTAATATTCTTATTTTGTTTATCTGGGTGAAAATTGGTCCTAGTAGTATGAAATATTAATTAATGTTAGACAGGGCCAAACACAGATGCGGCTACATTTCCATAACACTACTTGGATGATTACATTCCAAACTAATTTCCAACACAGTTCTGAGAAAATAAAATAATAAGATAATGAATAATAGCACTTAGAGCGATAACCTCTGTGCAATGCTAGACTACACTCCACCTGCTCCTGTAATTTGATGGCCACCTAGATTTTCATTCCCCAAGAACTCTATAAAGTAAGCTCCTTTGAGACATAATTAGTTATTCTTAAAAGGGGGACACAAAGTATTTTTCATCTGAAAGATAAAAAGATCTAATAAAGAGATTCGAGTTCTAGGAGAGGAAAGAATTGCTTAATAGTGCTGTAGTTTGAGGATGAATCTCACCTCCATCTGACTGTCTAGTAAAAGCACCGTGGTAGTGTAGAGAAGACACTATAGCATCAAACAGGAGTGGCGAACTTTACATATACGGCTATCGACTTTCTAACTCACCTTGTAAAGAAGAATTTCAGTTTTATTGAATAACGATATGAAGTCATTTTAAAAATTGTTTTGAGCTTTATCTAAAAGGATATCATTCAATATTAAAATATATTAAAATATATTTTAATGCCATCTTGATATAGTAGTGTATACCTGTGATCTCTAGTTCGAGGGTTAAAGGGCATGAGTTTGAGGTCAGCCTGGGTACCTAGTGAGACCTGTTTAAAACCAAAAACAAAAGCTGAGCACAACAGTACATATGCCTTTAACTCCAGCACTTGGGAGGCAGGCAGAGGCAGAGCCAGAGGCAAAGGCAGAGGCAGAGGCAGAGGCAGAGGCAGAGGCAGAGGCAGAGGCAGAGGCAGAGGCAGAGGCAGAGGCAGAGGCAGAGGCAGAGGCAGAGGCAGAGGCGGCAGAGGCGGCAGAGGAGGCAGAGGAGGCAGAGGAGGCAGAGGAGGCAGAGGAGGCAGAGGAGGCAGAGGAGGCAGAGGAGGCAGAGGAGGCAGAGGAGGCAGAGAGGGGGCAGAGGAGAGGGGGCAGAGGAGAGGGGGCAGAGGAGAGGGGCAGAGAGAGAGAGGCAGAGAGAGAGAGGCAGAGAGAGGTAGAGAGGCAGAGAGGCAGAGAGAGGCAGAGAGGCAGAGAGGCAGAAGCAGAGAGGCGGAGGCAGAGAGAGGCAGAGAGAGGCAGAGGCAGAGGCAGAGGGGCAGAGAGGCAGAGGCAGAGAGGCAGAGAGGCAGAGAGGCAGAGAGGCAGGGAGGCAGGGAGGCAGGGAGGCAGAGAGGCAGAGAGGCAGAGGCAGAGGCAGGCAGATCTCTATGGTTTGAGGCCAACCTGGTCTACATAGTGAGTTCCAGAACAGCCCTAGCTAACAAAAACTCAAACAAAAACATTTAAATTCCAGTTGAACATTACATTATATTTTGATATATGTTATGTTGTAATTGTAATAAGTTAAGCAGTTTATAATGAGCTATTGTTTTTTTCTCTTTGTGTGTGTGTGTGTTTTAGAGAACAGGTTTCTCTGTTTAGCCTTATCTGTTCTGGAACTTACTCTGTAGACCAGACTGGCCTTGAAATCTGCCTGCCTCTGCTTCTTGAGTGCTGGGATTAAAGGTGTGGGCCACTACTGCCAGGATGAGCTATTGTTTATTAATCTTTATAATTTTATAAGATATGTTGGATATTTTTAGGTGTCTGGGACATAGGTGCTCAAGGATCTTTTCTTTTATCTTCCATTTTTAAAAGAGTATACAATGACAAACAGAAGACTATAAGACATATGTTCTTGTAGACCAAAGATATAAGGTGAGGTTTTTATCAGAATCTATGAGTAAGGCTAATGTACATCTATATATAATGTACCATACACATATGTGCATGTATATAAGTGTGTATAGACATTCCTTTTACATTCAGAAAATAGACTTTTAGACATCACCATTATGCTCTTACAGGGGTGGAAGTAAAAATGATGACCAAATGTGTTAATTCAAACATAATGTCTGAAATGGAGTGAAAAGGGACACAGCTTATCAATGGTCTGCATGGTTGGTGTGTACATAGTCCTGAGTACATGAAATACAAGCATCGTTTATGTCCTAACCTAATTAAACACAGCATCTAAAATGTGTCTGACTTACTGAGCCCTGTGGATTAAATCACATTTTCTAATGCAATTCCAGCATTTATATTACTTTTTCTTCAGGAAATATGTTGACATGTTAGTCATGTCATTACCGGGAAACAAGATTTACTCTTTATCTTTAAACAGAGTAGAAACTGGGAGGAAAAAAAGATCCACTTGAAAAAGGGTGGGGAGCATCCATGCCAGAGAGGGATTAGAAATCAGGCTGTTTTGGTGTTGTTAATAGTAACGATACCAACAATGATTTATTGGACGCCGAGAAAGCACTGGTTTCCAGGAGAGCCTGCCTGCCAGAGCTGCTGCATTTTGTTTGCAAACAAAGATTTCACATTAAATTCCTTTAAAGAGATTTGTCCATATGGCTTAAAAAAAAAAAAACACCTGAACTTTGCAAATGCAAAATTTCCAATTCAAAATTGTACATATTCATTCATATTTGTGGAGAAAATTTCCTTTCTGATTATGAAAGAAAAATACATTCCCAAACTTAAAAAAAAAAACTTCAACCCAAAGCAACAATAAGAAAACCAATAGCAAAAACCCTTACTAGAAAAAAAATCCCAATTTTACATGTCCTTGTCCAAGTGGCATTTTCAACATGACATCTTGAAATATGGCCCATGCCTTATTTAGCAGAAGATTTGTTTGTTTTGAGTTTCTAACACAGCAACCCACACTTTGTGCCCTTCTCTCCTGGAAATGAAAGCTTACACGTGAGACAGGTCTGTCACAAAGCTTCAACCAAAGAGCCAAGCGCTGGCAAGTGCCCGGAAGGCTGACAGGCAGAGCAGTGCTGAGCAGACGTCCAGAGGACTTCTCAGTTGACTCTTCCTCACCCTGCTTCTCCTTCATGTATTTGTAAATCACAAAAGTAAGAATGAATTTTTTTCTGGTTTTAGCTTCCAAAAACCGTCTTTAGAAAGAACAGCGTCTTGTTGAAAAGCACTGTGTTTAAGTAGCAAGACGGGATACCCTTAGGTCAAAGTAAGGTTAAAAGGAAGTCTACGGAAAAAAAAGACAGCCCAGATGTAGAGCCAAGGTATTGTTAACTCATTTAGATTTTTTTTCTGTGTTTAAGGACTGGTGAGATGTTGAATACTGTAATGTGATTGTCTTTCGTTTCTTCTCTCTTCCTCTCAGGCACCGAATGGTCTCCCAGCTGTGAGCAGTTTTGTATCGGCATCCAGCATGGCTCCTTACCCTACACCAGCCCAAGTGTCACCCTACATGACCTACAGTGCTGCTCCTTCTGGTTATGTTGCTGGACATGGGTGGCAACATGCTGGCAGCACCCCACTGTCCCCCCACAACTGTGACATTCCCGCGTCGCTGGCTTTCAAGGGAATGCAGGCAGCCAGAGAAGGTAGTCATTCTGTCACGGCCTCTGCACTCTGATGGGAACTTCCACTTCCAGCTGCCACGCTCTGGTCTCCCCTCTCAGCACACCCCCCACCCCCTTCACACCCTACCCCTCCAGTGGTTCCGCTTTAGCGCCTCAAGAGCTGGCGGCTTGGATTCATAATCTTTGTGCTGATGACACTTAAATATTTCTTGCTGTAACTTCCCTCTTTCCAGGAAATCTGCCATAACTTTAGGATTTAAAAACAAGAACAACTCTAAAGATTGAATGAGATGTTTGTGTTGCCCGCACACTGTTTTAACACAGTGAGAAACCTATTCCCCTCAAAGGGCTTATGGGACTTTGTAGACCTGTCTTTGGTAAAACCACACATGTATATTTATTCTAAATCAACCTGAACTTTTGAAACGTGCAATTGTTGAGATTTTGCAAAATCAATAAAGGAAAACAGATGTAGAAAAAAAAAAGGTATGTGATACCCTCTAATCAAACAAGGTGACCAAATAAGCCTTAATTCACCATTAGGAAACCAATCAATAACTGACTTGTGTGATCTTTTGCTTCTTTTTAAGAGATGATGTATTTTGTTGAAAATGTGTATAGAACTCAAGCAATATTGGAATTTTGCTCCTTTTGTTGTTTTGACTTGGTGCCTAATACAGCAATGTTTGTATTTCTATGAGCTTGTAAATACGGACTGTGGATGTCTTCATTCCATGGGTACCCACCCTTCCACCAACACCTCTCTCCTATCTTTCTTTCTTTGCAAAGGTGACTTTCTGGAGATGTATTTGTCTCTGTTTGGTGGTGGACCACTTGGGGTCCTGGACCTGGATGTGCCCTCAGGTTGTGTGAATTCAGTAAAGGCTTCAGCAGCTCATGAAGGATACTTTCTTTCTATAGCAGAGGACTCAGAACACAGATAAAACAAGCCATTGTTTAGTTTGTATCCCAGTCAAACAACACATGTCAAGCATAGGACATGTAACAAGCAGAGGCTGTAACATACCTGTTCCACAATGCTTTAACGGAAGTCACTAGAAACATGTCTAATGTGAAATGGGTTTTTTGTTTGTTTTTATTTGTTTTTTATTTTTATTTTTTCAAAGACACTTAAAATGAACTTTATATGATGGAAAACCACTGTGAAATGAAATTGTACTGTTATTGTTGGCTTACCTGTGTGTTCAGCAATCTCAGCCCCAAATTACCTGGTAACTTAAAAGGAAATGGAGAATTCTTCTCTAATGAATGTAGTAACAATGGCTTGCTGTGAAGTTTACATTCTGTTCTGAAGCATGTTTCACGTGTAGGTCAATTGGTGTTGGTATGAGAATTATAAATGCTATTTAATTTTTAGCAAATTCTTTTTTTTCATTTATGGAATTACAGAAGAGAGATTAGCTGCTAAGCCTTTCTAGACCAATTTGATTTTTACTTTAATGTTATGAATAGAGTTACAGGACATGCATATGTGTGTGTGACCATGTGATTATATGTTTTATTTTATAATAGTTCGTTTTCTTGGGCAAGATTCCACAGTTTGCATTCCTTCTGCTGCTTGGCAAAATAGGGTTAAAATGAACTTTCAGAATATTGGCACCATTCATCTATTGAGACATCAATGCACTGAGGGGTGTCTTGGTATTAATTCCACTCAATAACCAAACAGGTACGGGAATTTTGGTACACAGTTGTGTTCAAGGAAGTAGGTTCTCCCTGATTCCTGCAATCAGCTTATAGAGTTGTCTTATAATATGTCTTATAGAGAGCTTCATACTGCATTTCTTTCTAAAGTAACCAACACTCATTGCTACAAATAGGATTATAACCTTAGGAGAAGAGTGAGCAGAAGGAGCTGATGAACTCTCAGGGCCATAGACTCCCTTTGATCTTGTAAAACTCCCATTGACAACTGGCATTCCCCGTGTGGTGAGGAGACAGACTGTCACCAAATGGCATTAATATCCAATCCAATATTTTGGTGGGGACTTTCAAATCACGCAGTACAGAAACTTAATTGCCTTCCAGAAAATCTGACTTAAGGTACAGAATTACTCTATATCTAATGTTTTTAGGTGACTGTTTGGGGTATCGTGAAATAGCAATTGCTTGTATGGAAACATAACTGATAATGTTATTTTCCTTATCTAAGTTAAGAGATCTTATTGTTATTTATGTTTTCTGGTTTTTGTATTTTAAGAAATTAATATTAATGGTGTCAGAGTTTTCTTTTTCATTCTCACTCCTCTCTCCAGGTCTTTTATTAATCACGGTAAATCCACATGGAACAAATTGTAAAAGACAACTGAAAGTCCAAACCTTGTTGGCTATTCATAGCTACTTATAACTCGAAGGCATGTTAACAACTAAGAACAAGAACTCAGTGAGGTAGGGCCTGCTAGATCTTCACACCTGTTGCTATTAACATTAGCCTCCTCCTGATGCTCAGAGGGGGACATTTTCTAAGTTGGCACATGCACTCTTCAGAATTCCCTTTCTGCCCTGTTCTATGCCTTTAGCCCTCCCACAGAGGGCTCTAGAGTGCATCACCTTCACGGACAGAAAGCAGCCATGCAACGCAGACCCACTTTTCCTGTTCATGGCTTTCTGTTTTTTTTTAAATAACCCACATACTGAATATTGGGCTGAAATACAAATGAAAAAAAAAACATGTTGGAAAAGATGTACAACAGAAGGCTATGTATGTATATAGAGTATGTCAAAAGCCTTTTATTTTTATACTTCAGATGCTCTAAATTAATAAATACAAATAATTACCATGTCATCTTTACTGTTTATTTTCGAAATGTTTTGCTGAGATTGCCCCTTGTAGAAACACCTCACAGGAGTAGTAAAGAGCAGGTGTCGTCTAAAACATGTTGAGATTTTCTTCTTGACCTTAGCTACTAGAGAAGTCTTGTTACAAGGTGCAGACATAAAAATAAGCTTCGGGTGGTACATCAAGACCAAAAAGCTATCTTTTTCTTTTTGGAGTGAATATTAGTGCACAAGTACTTGGGAATACTAAAGAATGTATTTTCACTTTTGAAATGTTTGCCATTTAGTGTAGACATTTTAATATTCTAAATAGTTAGTTTTATACTTCAATATGTGACTTAAACCCGAAAATCTGGAGACAGTTTTATTTCCCTGTACTCTTTTTAACGATGGGTGTTTGGAGACAAGCTCAGGCAACAGAGAGGGGTCCAGAGTACATCCAATTTATGACCTAACACCCCCCCCAAAAAAAAGAAAGAAAAAGGAAAAAAACCCAAACAACTCAGTAACAAATCTTGTTTTTCAAAACGAACTATGTAAAAGAAAGTCTTCAAGTAGCATGATTTTAAAATACCCACTTAAGTCACCAAGTGAAATATAAAATACATTTAGGGAAATAGAGCCTGAGGGTGTATTAATTACTAAAGAAAACCAATAGACTCACATTTTAACTCAGCACTCACAAAATTAAACATTCTTAAAAGGCTGTTTTGGTGTATTTAAATTTTTTCTTACTTCTCTTTTAAAATATGATTTATGGAAAAGTAGTTCCTTATAAAATGTGTTTAAATTTTGACTTATACCTCAGTCTTTGAATAATTCTCAGGAAATTAGCTGCAGAACAACTTATTTTCAAGAATTTACAGATTTATAGACTTCTCAGAAAAAGTATTAATCGAGTTTTCATGGTGAAGCAGCTTGAGTCAGATACTCTGCATAGCTTTCATGAACTGTATCTGAGCTCTACCCTATGGATCCCTAACTTACAAACCTTACTGCTCCATGTTTCTTTCTCACAGTGTTATGTACACGGCCCAAACTACCATGTCAATCTGACTAAAAAATTACAAAACATCGGAATAGGCTTTGCTCCTGAGCAGGCTGTCTTCCCCTCCTAACGGGTGTGTCTAGCTTGTCTTCTTTTCGTGGGGCTGCAGATCGCATCTCTGTTACGTCAAGGGGGAAGGCGCCTCTCAGTCCATCACCAGTTCTCCTGCAGCCACGCATAGGTATGTTCATACACCAGCAACATCACCGCACCGCCTGGAACAGAAGAGAGTTGCATCTCATCACAGTCCTGGGAAGGGGCATGGATGCTGCTCCTCTCACCCCAGCCCTTGTGCCATCAAATCTCAGGGGGCTTTATCCAGGAGGCTGGGGACTTTCGGAATCATCCGTGGCTCTGCTACACAGATAGAAAGTGATTATGGAAAATTCTCAGGGCAAAAATCATGACCATCTTGAGTCTCCGAATACATTTTTCCCTCTGTGAGTTTTTGCAACTTTCATCATTTCTCATCAGATTCTTTTTCAAGAACTTTCAATATTTTTTTTTAAAAAAGTAAATAAATAAAGACATATTTAGTCATATAAAAGCCTGGTACTTCTCTGCAGATGAAAATGTTCAGATAGCTCATATTGAGGCAATAGATTTCTCTTTTCCAGACATAATTGGCATCTTCTTTGGGTGTATTCAAGAAAGAATTCTCCAAGACCATGATTTGACAGATGAGTCTGGCTTGTAAACTGAATTGCGTTGTTTGAAAGTGACTTTCTGAATATTTTAAAATTCTGTTTTTTTTTTTAAAGGAAGTTGGAAGCTACGATTATTCTACATATCTGCCTCAAATATACAAATTTGAACTTGGAAATTTGGAAGTAGAGTGGAGTGGCACGGGACTGCCCTTTATCATAGATGAGAATGTTGTATAGCTGGCTGTGAAGGGGCTGGCGGTAAACGTAGACAGGAATTCATGTTTATGAGTGACTCAGGAGTGATTCAGGGGAGTAAGCTCAGAGGATACAGGATTCGTGCACACTGGGGAAGCCATCTGCCTAGCTCTCTTTCTGTGTTCTACCTGATAAAGCAAATAGGATGTATCCTGTAACTTAGAAAGGCCTAACTGTGTGAGAAAAAAAAAAGTTACAAACCTAAATGTGAACAAAGACTCTGAGCATGACTGAGAAGAGGCTTGGCTGAGTGAGTAGAAGGTTGACTTATCTTGGAAAGAAAAGGAACTTGATTTGGATCTTAGCTATTTTGCAAACACTGCCATATAATTTTTTTTAAAAAAAAAACTACCGGCTGTACATGTTTATATAACCATAAACGAAAGATAATTATCTGCCTGTAATTTTCATTTTTAACCCACGGAGATACTCTACTAAACCCCTGTCAGCTGATATAGCTCTCCTGGAGTTCTAAAACTACAAACGAGTAAACAAACAAGTAGTCCCACGGACAGTTGTTAATGCCTACGTAATCATGAAATTTACTTTTACTAACTGCTCACAATATAAAGCACAGACACACATGCACACACATGTACCCCCCCCACAGAGACAGAAAGACACAGAGAGACAAAGACAGACACACATATACAGAGACAGACAGACATTCATACACACAGAGACAGACAGACAGAGACAGACACACACAGAGAGACAGATACATATATACAGAGACAGAGACAGACAGACATTCATACACACAGGGACAGACAGACAGAGACAGACACACACAGAGAGACAGATACACATATACAGAGACAGAGACAGACAGACATTCATACACACAGAGACAGACAGACAGAGACAGACACACACAGAGAGACAGACACACATATACAGAGACAGAGACACACACAGATAGATAGATAGATGGATAGATAGATAGATAGATAGATGATAGATAGATAGATAGATAGATGATAGATAGACAGACAGACAGACAACTTTGGTTTTCAGTCTAGTGAGATCTAGAGCAGAAATCAGGCTGAGCTCTTTTGCAGATGGCACATCATCGTTGGCCATGCATGGCTGCTAAGGAATTAAAAAAACAAAAAGATGACATGCTTCTCTAGGATGAAGGATGCTTCCTTCCCCTGCCTGCCTGCTGTCTCTCCTTCTTCTTTCCCCCTCCAGTCCCTTCAGTCTTCTTCATTCTTGTTCCTCCCTCCCTCACCTTCCTTACTTGCAGTGCTGGAGATTAAACTCAGGGCCTAGTGAATGCTAGCTGTGTGTTCTACCCTGACCTAGCTGACCTCTACCTCCTGTATCTCAACTTTAATTTTTGAATTTTATTTTAGGTCCCCCCACACCCTTTTGCCCACTGAGTCATCTTCCTGGCCTCCTTTTTTTTTTTTTTTGTACTTCCTTCTTTTCTTCCTTAACTATGAATGGTGCTAACTCCCGCCTTTCTCCTCTGACTTCCTCCCTAGGACTTGTACATTTGAAACGCAGGAGAGGCCATGTGCTGGTATTAGGCTCTTCACAATCTGGTTGAGGCTGGACAGTAACACAGCGATGCTTTTCATTGCACAGGACACCAGAGCAACTTAGGATAGCTCACGCAGAAACATTTAAAAACCCGAGCAGACATTTGGAATCCTCTAACAGAACTTGGGGGCAGGTTATTTAAGAGTTTTGAGTTTTGGTTCAAGGTTTCTATCAATGACCATTTTAGCTACATCCTCCCTTGTTCCTCTTTTTATCCCTGCTCTTCTGAGAAGCTGGTTTAGGGCATTGCCCTGTGACTCTTCACTAACGTTAGGCCTACTCTCACGTCTTGACTGGTGACAGAAAAATACAAGATTCCTGACGTTGTTGTTTTATTCCTGAGCTGGTTTTGACACATGAGCCGATGATTAACCGGAGTCAGGTCTCGATCTCACATACGAAGAAAAATACACGCTTAAATGCTCACAGAGGTTGGGGTAATAGATGGAGACGGGTGGGATTATTTTTGAATACACAAAAGTGTGAACCGTTCTCCAGGTTTGTCTTATGTACTCCCTTATCTAAGGCGGGGGACACAGGCCAGTTTTCCATGTTAAGATGTGACTGTAAACACAAGTGTGTGAGTACGGGAGTACATCGGTGCTAAAGTTGAGGAATGGCAAAGAGAGAAAAGAATGTTCCAGAGAAGACTACCAGGATGTCTAAGGACAGGCACATGATCTTGGTTTAAAAAAAAATGTGTGTGTGGTCTAGAACATATGTTCATACTTAATCACAGGGCTTGTAATCCAGGACTATTTGCCCAGGCGGTTGAGTTTCCAGCGATTTTCTTATCTATTTACATAGAGGCAGCTGCCTCTCCCCGTGGAGGGTGACAGGATCTTTTTTTTTTCCCCCTGTCTTCTGTCCTCAGATAGGGCTCCAAGCCAGGAGTCTCCATGACCAGACTGAGGGAGGCTGGGACAAGTGTGTGGCCTTGAACAGCTTCCCTCTTTAGAAGAGACTGGGAATGAAGTTCAGGGACCTGTTGATGTTCAGGGAAAGCAAGTTCTCTTCCTCTATTGAGGAAACTTCTGTTGGAAATGAAGGAGAGGCAGAAGCTAAATTGGGCCTGGAGCACAAGGGAGAGTTTTATCGCCTGGTTTCTCTGTGGAATCCTCCACTCAGCTGGAAGCCATTGTGTATATTTTGGAGTTCACTCAGGCTTCAGTACGTGTGGATCTTTGCCTATTGACTTAAGCCTGGCAATAGCTCTCGCTGGCTTCCAGCAAAGCCATAGATGGTATTTATGAACAAAGGTAGAGTGTTTCTGATGGATGCTTTCAGTATCTTGAACAGTTGAGTTTATAGTCTCAATTTTTCATTCCCTCCCTGTATGGTAAACCTCTATGGTGTTTCAGATCTACACCTCCCTGTATGGTAAACTTCTATGGTGTTTCAGATCTACACAGGTAACAGAAGAGACACCAGGACAATAAAGAAAGAAAGATATAAATATTGAGGTCATCATTACCTGGTCCAAGTCTCATCACCTTGGGAAGCAGGCCTTTGTATAAGGCTAAAATCCTGTAACAGTAAAGAGGGAGCACTTTTTTTATTCTGGAAAGAGGTAGTAGTTCTCACCATTTGCTAAGAAACCACTTGAAATTATACCCACCCCCAACCTGACAGTATCTGGCTCAGAATTTGCTGCAGCAAATTGGATGAAAAGGGAGAGAGTTAATCAGTTCTTTATTACAGGCTGTGTTGGTCTTGTCCAATCAGAACCTTGACTTTCATCAGTGAGATGGTTCTTGCTTTCAAGACAGCTGTGTATATGGGCAAAATGACTTTTGTAATTGAATTTAAAAGACCACAAGCCCAGTCTTCACATTAGGAAATATGATGCTGCTTAGATCAAAATAATAAAGTATCACTTGTTTACTGGAGAATATTGGTGGGAAGGGGAGGGAGAGAGGAGACAGAAACTAAAGCTTAGAAAAAAAAAATCAGTAAAAGGCAAATACTTAAAAGTTTAAGAATCCAGATTTCACCAATGCTCATATTTAATTCTCTTAGGAGGACTTAATTAAGACAACATTTTGATTAGATTTTTAGTCGGAAGACAAATATTCTGCCTGCATGCCAATAGGGCATATACAATAACAGCATGCTAAACATGCTGAAGAGTTTACTCGAGCATTCTCAGGCAAATGCTCAGCGTATTACATAGTCGTGCCTCTTTGCATGATCACGCTGGTCAGAGGACACTGCCAATGTCTCATTACTGTGTGGCCTTGCAAACCTTGTCATTTATTCCAGACTTCCTTAGCCATAAGCCCAGCCTCGGAAGGCTTACTCGCCCTCATCGAAACAGTTAAATGCGCCGTTTTAACAATCCTTGGCCCTTACATAGTTATTAAAGCAAGGATCTGTTACCCTTCTTCCCGGTAGACCATCTCCATTGTTTTGAAGCAGCTCCGGTACTTGATCTCTCCAGGAACTGGCTGAGGCCCTTGGATCCTACTCTTCACGACATCAAAGGGGATGTTAAAGACCGAGCCCATTGTCCCGGAGACAAAACCAATCCCAAATTTTCTCAAAAACTCCAAGGTTGGATCCTAAAAGAAAAGAGTAAAACAACAGAAGGGGAAGTGGAAGCTCCTAAATTGGTTAAACACTGTAAAGCGAGAAGTATGTGAGCAGAGAGAGCATCGCCCTCCCGCCCCATCGCCCCATAGCCCCATAGCCCTCCCGCCCCATCGCTCTCCCCTCTCCCGGCACCCTCCTGTTATTCCAGCCGAGCACATTAGGATTTCCTAGGCTGGAACTTGTTTTCTTGACAATCCCATTGGCTATGTTTTTACACATGGTCTAAATTGCTGAAGTACACATTTCCTCACACAGGATTTATAAACACAGTTCATAAAGAAAGACTGGTATGGCATATGGGGATGATTTGTATAATTGGGCTTCACAATGTACTTAGTATTACTGTATCAAAACAGGAGAAATCCAAGCACACTATTAGCTAATTGGCCAGAATATTTTACAAATGACAGCAACTTCCACCATGAAGCCTACTAAAACGCTCATGTGTGTGGACCCCAAATGTTAAATTAAATCAAGGCTACTCTGGTCTGCTGCTATTCCCCTCCAGATTTTTTGCATTTATTTTCACGTGTAGCTTGATCCACTGTACTGAGAAGTGCTAGCTTCCTGTTATTAACAAACCGACTTGGGGCGGCTGCAAAACAGCCTGTGACATTCTGTGCATTAGAAACAGTAGTAAGTCGCTGGGCTAATTGGCTCAAGAATTTACAACCCATTGTTCCTGAATCTTACTCTTCCTTCATGGAAGGGAAGAAAAGGAGAAAAGGGTCAGGAAGGAATGAAGGAAGGGGGTGGGGGAAGGAGGAGGAACAGGAGGAAGAAGAAGAAATGGAAAGAGAAAAGAGAAGGAGGAGGAGAAGGAAACTCTTTTTTTCTCCATGTAAGTTGGTGGGACTTGATTTTCTAATCCTCCTTGCCCTGCTTTCTGACATCAAAGGATTTAATTAGTTCTTACGTGGGAGTCACTTTCCTTGGGTCTATTTTTTGTGGCCAGAGAACTTGCATTATGCTTTGTTATAATGAATTTGCTGGGAAGTTCTCATTATGTTTGCAGCCTTAGCTTTTGCCCTGAAAAGACGCTGTATCAGATATTATGAGTGGGTAACTCTGACAGCCCCACCCACCTTCCTCTGATGCTTTTCATCTGTATTTCAGAGTCATTGTCATCCTGGAGCCACGAGGTCGTGTGATTACACCTTCTTCTTCGTTTTTATTCTTTTTAATCTAGCAGAACTAAAGCGCGTGTGTTTGTACATGTGCATACTTGGTTAAGAAGATTGAGGGGGGGATAGGAATGAATACATTCTTATGTTGAGGCCTGAGCACTGTGTGAGTCTAGCTTCCATGGGAGAAGAGAAATTTCTGTAGGGCCCTAAATTCTCAACTAAACCAGAGGTCACAATCACTGCAGTGCCTGTGAGGATAAATATAAAAAGCAAAAGCAGGGGATTAGGTCATACTTTTTGGATCTGGGCCATACAGGTGCCAGGGGTCTTAAAGGGATTTAGAAATCAACAGGGTGTTTCTGCGGGAGAAACAATGCTGTGACTGCGGAGTGGCTGAGCTGTGTTTAAATGATTCTGCATCACTAGTCTTTCTCTTTTACAAGGAGAGAAAAATGCCTTGATGCTGCCCTTCTGCATTGCTGTACAGAAGCACCTGAGCTCCTGGGGCGGGGGGCAAGTTTAGCACCTGCTCAAGTTGTCTGCCCATGGATGAGTCATTAAGGCCCTGAGAGCACGGTGTGCAGAGGGGGATCTTTAACATCTACGTCATTTGTGCACGGTGTCTTTTTCTCAGAAGTGATGGTACATGCCAGGTGTTCTGAGTGCTATATAAGACTGGTGGAAAGCAGAGAGCATTAGAGTGAACCATTTAACAAAATTATATATTTGGTTGTGTATACATGTGTGCCCACTCATGCCATGGCAAGTGTGGAGGTCAGGAAACAATGTTCAAGAGCTAGTTCTCTCCTTCTGCCGTGTGGGTTCTAGGTATGGAACTCAGGGAGTCAGGATTAGGGGTGAGTGCTTTCTCTCCCTGGGTCATCTTGGCAGTTTTATGAACCCTGTTTTCTTAAGACATAAAATATCCTGTAAAGAAATGTTCTCCTAGTGTCCTTGTGACTGAGTTGAAATCCTTTTTTCCCCTCCCTACTCAGGACGATGGCAGAAATGACGATCTGTATGCACAGCTGGCTGGGAGGGTCAGGGGACCCCATCAAACATCCAGTCTCTCCTATCTCTTGATCTATTTGTCAAGGACTGGAGAGAGGAAGGGCAAAGAGAGTGTGTGTGTGTGTGGGGGGGGGTGGACGCTAACCTACCACATCTAGCAAAGCACTTTGTGGTTGAGACACTGTTGGAGTCTAAGACCCCCATACCAGCATTGTGCTCACTCGCACAAAGACTGTCAAACCCATGTCCCCAACATGATAATAAGGCCCCATGGTAGCTCCTAAAAACAGCTGTGTAGTCTGGGTCCCAGCTCAGACCCATCTTGGTTTCCCAGGTCAGTTTTCCTCTTCTCTGGGCAGAAGACTTAAAATGGTTTTATGTGGGGCTGGTGCAGTGGCTCAACAGGTACAGGCTCTCGCCAGACACAAACCCGGCAACTTGAGTTTGAAACCTGGATGTTACAGGTGGTAGGTAGGAGAGAACTGACCCCTGAGTATTGTTCCTTGACCTTTACGAACATGCATGTGAGACACTGACACACACATACCACACACACACACACACACACACACACCACACATACACTCCAAATAAATAAATAACTTGAAAAAAAAAAAGATATTGAGTCCCATGCTGGAAACCAGTAATTTTGGTGCTCTTAATAGGTAAAATGGGGGAGTGGGTCAGTCACTATGCTTGTGGGTATTAATGTTCTTGTGGTATGGCCAAAAGAATATCCCTTATCAATTGGTCTCTGAATCCATGGCTAGTCTGTTCTTTGGACTTCCTAATCTGCTTTGTGCTAGAATCCAGTTAGGGCTGGTGGGCCACAGCCGGCTAACACTCTCACTTTGCCTCTGATGTCCTCACTACACCACCATGTGCAAGAAACTTTGGGATCTTTTCATCAGAAAATTTTCTTCTGTAATCCCCAGACACTGTCTTAACCACAGCTGTCGGTCTCAAATAGTTTATGTCTGGTTTCTTTTTGAACATAGCTATCTTTCACAGCAGGTTGTGGGCCCACAAGGTACCGAACTATGTATTACACTTCTTTGCCTTGTCTGTCCCCACAGGAGTGCTGTGGCACACACCTGTGCTTGTACACAAAATCAATAAACAGGTTAAGTGTAATTTAAAAAGTGGGACAATTGTTGTAACTAGAACTCTAAAAAAAGAGAAGAGAGAAAAGGAGAAAGGGAAGGAAGAAAGACGGCGGAGAGAAAACAAGTGGTGAGGAAGGGAATGGGGCAGGGAGAATGAACGTGTCCGCGTGGAGACAAGAAAGTTTCACTTGCACTGCCATTGTGGTCAGAGATTCACAAAGAGGACATGTATCATATCAACCCCGCCCCTTACAGTCTGGTAAGCTCTTTGTGGCTAGGTGACAGCACTTCTCTCCAAAGCTGTTCTCGGGGTTATAGATGCTGCCTACCCAGGGTTACGGATGGTGCAGATCCAACCTCCCAGTACATCACTGCTGAGCCCGTTTGGACTGCTGCAATGGACAGTCTGTTTGTAGTCTCAGGACCTCGGAGGGCTGGGGTCAAGGCAGTGATGATGATATAGAATGACGCCCAACAGTCTTTGAGTGTGGTCATTGTTTCATACCTACTAAGTGACATGTTCTCCATCTTCTCAAAGTGGCGGAGATCCCTGGAAGATTGGCATAAGGTGGGGAGAGCGTGCGTTGTACTTTGCGTTAGCTATCAGGCAATTTGAGGCATCCCAGGGAAAAGAGCCTATAGGCTATTACTTTTTACTGGCTTTTTTTTTTCAAGACAGGGTTTCTCTGTGTAGCCCTGGCTGTCTTGCTCTATAGACCAAACTGGCCTTGTACACAAGAGATCCTTCCGCCTCTACTTCCTAATTGCAGGGATTAGTGACATGTGCTGCCACTGCCTGGCAAAGTAAGGTATTCTTAGTTTAGGGGCTTGGGAGAGAGAGAGAGAGAGAGAGAGAGAGAGAAGTAAGCAGGACAAATGTGTGCTCTGTTGACCTCAGGTGAGCTCTGGGAGATGTGGGTGGAGGGGAGCAGAGGCTACGCTGAAGCCAAGTGCCCATAGGTAAAGAAAGCCGAGCTGAATGGAGCTGCTTTGACTCAGCAGTAGAGGCAAGCTTGGGTGGTAGCCTCTGCCCAGACGTCATCAGCTTCTTTTGCAGGATCCTGGACCCCACTCAAGTATGTGGCTGAATAAACCCAGAGCGGGATGTGGTGTGCTCATGGCCAGTCCTTCACACAACGGGATCGAAGGAGCAGAGTGCAGAGGGGAGCGTGTGGCAAGGGAAGGGAAATCACTCCTGGAATTTACATATTGAAATATGATGTAGCATCTAGCTCTTGCTTCTTAAAAGCTTGGTCACTGTGGAGTCAATGAAGGAGCGTCATTACTGCCAATCACCTTGTTTTAGCTAAAAGAATGGTCCATTACGTCTCCTATTACCTGAATTTTCAGTTGCATTCATTTAAGAACTGGAGTGAAAGGAAGATGATCAGATACTCACTGTTGACAGGCACTGGGGTAAGTGATTTCCATGTATTAAATCCTCATAACATTCTGGAGCAATGAAGATTTCTGAGTCTTATGGAAAAGTTCCTTAATTTCCTAACTGGATATAAATTTGAATGAGCCCAAAGGGTTCTATTTCGGAGGACTGATAAGTTCAGTGTATTGAGGATCCTTGAGACTGTCATGGCCCAGCCAGCAATTGTAGAGATATGTGTACTTGCGTCTTGGGATGTACCCAAGTCAACATCCAGAGACATCATTTCTCAGACCAAGAAAAACCTTTAGTAGAAGAAAGTAAAGTCCCAGTGCCTATGAAAATCT